ATTAAATATTTCTTTAATATAAAAAAATTATTTTCCGAAAAATTTTCACCCACCCTAATATGTGTATATATTCAGCTAAATCACGCTGTGCGTTGTTATTTTGTGCTGTTGCCAAAAATTTCGAATTAGAAAAGTGATGGCATCACAACCATGGCATCATGTTTAGAAGTCGTCAAATACCAACACACACATGCACGGATATTTATTTACACATGGACTTGAAAAATAAAAGCAATACCTTCAACGTAAACACAATTATACTGCGCATCCAGCATAATTCCTCTACAATGACAAGTCTCATTATCAAGTTCAAAATGCCATCAAACAAATGAGCAGCTCTTGAACCCCTCCCACACCCACGACATCGCCCTCACCAATACGACATGACATGCCACACTCTGCTTACAGCCTCACGCTGCGTATGCTGACCTTAGACAAAACTCAGGTGGGCAGATAGTGGGTAAATGGCGATGAGATGCGTTGAAAGATGAGCGCGTATGCTTAGGCGTATCTTAATTTATCAAATAAATTATTAAATACTATAAGGTGATGTAAATAGTAGATGTTGAGTGTTGCCTATGTGTGCGTAGCTAATTAACAAAGTGACAGAAAATTGAAACTAAAAAGTCCCTGGGAAGGTGCCGGTGCTGCTGGCAGCTGTGTTTTATTTGTGTTGTAGGAAAATTAAGTTACATCGTATAAAATATTTATTTGCTCAGAAATATATTAATGACACCTTACATTATAAGGTTTTTCATTGAAATATAAAACTGTGTTGCTGCTCGTAAATTTAATTGCAAACGATTTAGATTTTCTCCTTCACTTCAACTCCCAACTTGCTGTGTGACGGATTTAACCTCCTTAACTTCTTTCTTAAGCATCCATTGAAAATTGATAATCTGTATCATTTATGGTAAAAACGAAAAAAAAAGTTCTTTTTCCAATTAGAACATTTTTTATATTAAAATAATCGCCGTACTATGATAAGGGTACCTTTAGTTGATATTTTAAAAAGTTAAGAGCCAGTTTAACTCTAAAAAATCTTTAAAGATGTCAACCATTTTACAAAAATTCATCTAAGTTGTATTCGATTTTTTTCGACTGATTTTTAACAGCTTCTTCTACATGGAAAACTTTACTCAAATTCTTCTAATTTAAAAAGAACAAATGCCTTTAAAATATCAAAGATCCACGTAAACTGCAACTTAGCCCATAGTGGCCCAAATAACACGACTTCTTTTCAAAAAGTTAAAAAGGAATTAAATGACATTATTACTAAAAAAATATTCTATTATAAGAAAATTAAACAGCCTTAAATGGATTAAAAGAAATTACTCTTAAATATTTTAGGGTCACTGTACTTGTACATATAGGGTGGGAGAGGCTCGGTGCGATGACATTATTAATAAGCAAGGTGGTGAAATTCGCAAACGAAATATAAAATCCAAATCGAAATTTTCAATGAAATCATAAATACTCTTGGTTTTTTTTTTATTAATTTACAAGAAATTTATATTAAATATTGCAGTGCCCTTTCAACGACATAAAGTAGCTTTTGATTATAGCTTGGCGTATGGTTCGCTCTGTGCAATATAAAGCGTAAAGGGCTTTGTAAGTAAATTAAATATCAAGCCGGGAAAATTTAACACTTTATTTCAAGAGGGCACCATTTGAAATGTTGTTTACACTCGTGGCCACGCAAATGTACTATAAATTATTTTTCGAACTTTATCATTCGTTCGGTATTTTCTTCAATTTTGTTTTGTTTTATGTTTTTAGTGAGTATAAGTAAAGTAAATTGTATTATCTAATAATAATTATGGTTTTTTATTTATTACGTTTAATGAGTAAAACACAAATTAGCTTTTCTGTGCTTATAAAAGAGGCAGATTTTATTGTTTTTAAAGTGATACACCGACTAAACTTCGCGTTTCAATTAAAAAAAAAAAATAAAATAAAATATTAATTTCAACTATAGTGTAAATGAAATTAAATTAAAAAAATTAAAAATATAATTTTTTCATCACATCTCAGTCACTTACATTTTGAGCTCATTTTGTAAAGCTCACTATGTTTAAATTGATTTATCTTTAGCTGAATGTTTTTTGTTTTTAATTTTTAATATTTTTGATTAATAACATATCATTATATAACATATACTTATATCTCAATTAAAACTTGTATATACCGCAAAAAGTACAGTTATAAAGTGTAGTCAAATATGCACTATACTTGAAAAATTTGAGTGGTAAGGTTTGCGTGTCCACGAAAATTAGTTAACAGGGAGGTTGTCAGTACGTAAATGAATAGTACGATAGCAAAAACACTATTTGAAACTTGATATTATAACTTATGAATTTCAAAATATCGATTTTTTGCAGATATATCGAATATTTGAAAATATTCCTTGAAAACTCTAAGCTGATTGGTTTCGGAGTTGTGACCGTACTATATATGTAAGAATTGTTGAACGTAACGAAATTGGCTCCCAAAAACAAAACATTGTTCTCAAAAAGTCCGGTGAGTAAACTTTTTCAAAACTATTATACTGATCAACTTCAATTTTTACTTCACCTTCTTGAATATATTTTTCAGGTAATGAGCAATAATAAATAATTCGATGATTATCCTCTAAAGTTTAAGTTTTTTCACAAAAAAATTATTTATTTGTTTTTTTTTGGAAGCAACAGACACTTTTTTGAAGAACTTCTCGGTGATCGCCTACGGGATTAAAGAAATTAAAATTTTTTTTTTTCAAACGAGTCGCGAATTCATCAAAGTACATTAAATTCCGTGAGGTTTTTTATATTTATTTTATATATAAATAAAATGCCACTCCAAAAAAGTAAGAAAAAAACATGTTTTTTCTACCCAACACGTCGATATAACCGCATAAGCGTATAACTTGTTGAGTTGAAAAACATTAAAATGTTAGTTGCAAATTCGTTGTGATGCTCGTTGGTTTAATAAAATATTAAAAACTCTTAGTCTCTTGGAGTCTCAAACGACATTTTGTTTATTACTTGTCGTATTTACTTCGTTCTACTAACAAGCATTAGGGAGTGCACTTGGAATATTGATATTTTTATAATGAAATATTCGGAATATGCGAACAAAATCTAAAAAACCAACTCACATGACTTCTTAATGAAAGCTCGTACCAAAAATAATAATAATATAATTTAAATATTTATAAAGATTAGAATCAATTTCTTTTAACGAAATCATTTATATTTTTATAAAAAAAAACTTTAAAAATTAATTTTTATTTTATTTTTTTTTTTTGAATAAATATGTGAATACTGCAAGTATTATTTAAAACATAAAACATTTTCAAACAAACTTTTCCAAACTCCAATATATACAAATGTTGGTGGAGGCGTATGAGTAACTCGTGCTATTCTCGAGGTACGACGTAGCGTATGAGTTACTTGGAGAAACACATTTAATATATTTAAAATATTTTTAATATTATTTACGCATTTGTATACGGGAATATTTTATGCTCTTAAAATCATTTTCAAATAAATTTGCAACACTCTCTTCACTTCTATTTGGAATTAAATGAGAAATTTCCTTTGAAGTAACTAAGAAAACTCGTATATTTTAACAGCAGCAAAACAATAACTTGTCTTCCAAAGCACTCGTAAAACTAATTGTATATATTACAGTTAGGTTGTATCCTTTTTCTGTTGCATGTTTGCTCATTCTCGCCTTTTCTTTAACGACATTTTATTCATTTATGTGCACTGCGCTCCCAAAGGAGCAGCAATTCATTTAATTTTTTTTTTTTTTTTTGTTTTTGTTTTTCTTCCTTTACCAAATACTCGCACTCGGCAAATTTTATTAGATATCTGCTGCTTCTTTTGCACTAGCTACTCTTTCGTTACAGTCATATGTCGCTGGCATTTCTTGTGCCCTTTTCATTGCGTGTTTGTTGTTGCTATTTGTTGGCGTTTTTGGTTTTGGTTTTGTGTCTCGAAGGGTTGGAAATTATTAATTTGCTTTTATTGATTGATCGCGCGTTCGCTTTTCAAGCATTCGCTTTATTTTCCAACACGACTAAGGCACATACAGACAGACATTTTTTGATTTTGTAAAGAAATTTTCAGCGTTGCATATGTTGGGAGGATAAAATGAGAAGTTTAACGAATTTTAAAGGATTTTTGGTTTCGGTTTCGGTTCTAAATTAGTTTGTATGAGCTCTGCTGGCTTTTATTTTGTAATTGAAAAGTTAAGCTTAAAAATTAATTTTGATAAAATATATGTGAATTTATTGTTTAAAAATTAAATTTTATATTTTTTTGGTACGCAATAATAACAGAATAACAGAAATGCTGATTTTATGCATTTTAACTTGGCACGTATGTTTTTTGATATTTTTGTGTATTTTATTAACTAAAACACAATCATTAAATTCCCGGCCAAAAACTCTTTAATTAACAATATATAGGAAACTGTCTGTCTAATGAATGAAAAATAAAAAATATGCAAAACTTTACACACACATACATGCTAATATATTACATTTGCTAATGTCGCCCTTTGCTTTTGTCAGACAGCAGGTTTTTTTCGTTGCCACTGCCAATCGTTAAGTAGGCCTTTACACTTTGCTTGCTTTTACTTAAGTTGTTGACTTATTTTTACCCTTTCAGCATAGACTCTTGCACGCAATTTCTTCGGCAAAAAGCGTTTAGATAAATTTTACTTGAAAGCGTTATTATTACTTTGCTCCACTCCTTGCAATTAGTATAAGTATTTTCACTCAGTTGTATATATACATTTGTATGTATATATTTTACGACATTATTTTCACTGCCCTTAGTATATACATATAGTATTAAAGATTTTTTCCACTATGTAACACACACACGCACTTTTCTTTGAATTTCAACGAGCAAAAGTGCTTCTTTTTTCAATTTTTTTTTCAGCCAATTTTTATTTTCCAAGGCAACACCACTTCTTTTTCCTGTTTATTTACTTTTCGCAACACAAAAAATAAAAATCTTTAATTTTTTTCATATATATGTATTTTTTCAATATTTTTTGCTTGCCTTCCCTTGACTGTGGGAGCACCTCAATACTTTCGTACGCAGCTGAGCTCTACCGACGTCCGTTTGCAGCTGTGGCCGTTACTCCACTAAACGTTTGGCAGCGCACGGTCGTCACAAGTTTTCCAAGCACACACATCGGCAGCATCACGCCGAGTCCAATAGACGAACTAATTCCGTATGTGTAAGCACACTTTTCCTGTACGAATTGCTCTCGCGCTAACCTTCGCGCGTATACTTAAGTTTTTGCTGCGTGGAAAAATGCTCGGCGTTTGCTTCCGCTCGCATAACTGTATACTCGCGCTGCTTTCACTCTCTGCGTCACTATTCTCGTCACTACTCGCGCTCTATCTTTTACTCGCTCTCATTAAATTGCCTCAAGTGTTGCCACTCTCTAGCCTACTCGCTTTGCCTCTCTGCAAGCTTTGCCATTTTTCGGCTTTTTCATTGTCACAGTCATTTGCTGGTTTGTTTGTTGTGTTTGTAATATTTTTCGGTTTTTCGCTTATTTTTGTTCATTTCGTTTTGCTCTTGAGTTTATTATTTAATTTGTGCATTTCTTTTACATTTTCCCCTAATTTTTGTTGTGATAGCGCGTTGGGAAAGCGGAGCGCATAATTTCCGATTGTTTTCATTTTTCATCCTCTTTTTCGCTGCTTTTCCTGCTGGCTCATTCGTGTGCGCCAACATTTGTTGTGTGTGTGTGTTATTGCATGTGGAAATTAGTCCGTCGCTTCTGCTATCTTGAAGCTCTTTGTTCTTGGTGGCTTTACCACCGTTGCCACAGTGGGATGTTAGTGACAAAAATGCGTTTCAAAATCAGTTTTCTTAATGGTGCTCTTTTTGCTCTCATTTTGGAAATGTAACTATAAAATGTCATTAAGTTTGTTCAGTGAGTTTTTTTTGTTAAGAAAAATTAACTATTATCACCACCTTTAAAATAATCAGTTCTTCTTGGTTTACTAAGGTAGACACCGTTAATCAGCTCATCACTGAAAATTATCAAGAAGAAATCAAATAACCCTGTTTAACCTTTATGATGAAGACGATAAGCTTCTGGGTGAAGGTTTGAATAAGTTTTTAGAAAAAGCTGAAGAACTTGATATTAATATACTAGAAAGTACTGAAAAAAAAAAGAAATTTCTAAAGAACTAGAAAATATGGAGCACTTAATTATTGAAGAAGTTGGTGTATGCCAATTGAAAGTTAGAAAAAGACCAATCGAATTTCAAGTTGTTACTTAGAAAAAATTCGAAAAAGACATTAACATATCAAATAAGCCAATTCAATATCTCAATATGTTTTCTTAATGCTGCTTTAATCAAATTGATTGTGGAACAGGCCAATATGTATTCCTATGTATTCTCACAAAGAATTCGGCGGTGTTTCAAATTAAGATATTCGTCGAATCTTGGATTTTTATCCAGCCAGTAGTTATCAATTATTGGCTCCTGTATCAAAATTGTTACTCCGGTATTTTACAGTTTTACTCAAAAGAAAAGAGGGGACGCCTTAGTGGTTTGCAAAATGTAGAAATCGACTTAACTCCGGTTGCACCTTCTTTCTCAGAGGAGCCTAGTCGAAGCACCATCATGTTGTTGATATGATATTATATCGATAATTTGTAGAGAGAAAGGCCGTCTTTGTAAAACTGGAACACCTCTCTCAAAATGTGTAAAATGTGTTGTTAGTCTATCACTTTTAATACCACATATCCCTAATATACATATTTTTTTCTTTGCATCTATTTATATCACTCAAAAACTGCCCTAAATACCCAAAGTTGCTTATAAGCAATATTTTTTGACCGGACTAAACTAGAGGGCTAAAACTTTTTTGGGAGTTAATTAAAGCATTTTAAGTCAAAAAGTTAAGAAAAAAATGCTGACAGTTGATTTGAGCGCAGTCCTGAAATGAATAATCTGACATCTAAAGACCATATATACGATAGCGACATCTATCGGGATGTTATTGTTCCTTTAACTAAGGGCGAACGATAAATAAAACATAAAGAAAATTCTGAAACCTTTTTTGGAGTAACCAACTAATAAAAGTTAATTGACATACTTTACATTTGAGGGCTACAAAAAGACATCAACCGATTTTGCTAACTTTTCACCAACACATTACATTATTAGATCAGATCTTTACTGAAAACAAAAATATGATAATACGATGGAAATTATTCGAAAAGCGGGTTGAAAACCAAAAATTAAAGATTTATGGGCCATCTGTGGTTGAGAAGAGAATCGGGTGTTAAAAACGATATATCTCGACGTACGGCTAAACTAAGGGACCTATGACAAAAGGTGTAAGCTATACTTATACTTAACTAATATATCTTTTTCACTTATAAAATAGTTGTGCGTAGCTTCTCACAGTGTCCTTGACTATAGATGCTACCAGGACTCATTGGTAAAATCCTGTATCTTTGGTGCATAACATTGCTCCGGCATTCTCCGGCACGGTCTGAAATTGTCGAAAGGAGTTATTAATAACATTGCGTGGTAACATGCGCATGAGTTTACTTGAGAAATTTCAAAAATTAGAAATTACTTCACACCTTGCCCTTGTTCCCATATAGCCATTATTATGGTTTAAGATTTTGCCCAGTTATTTTTAACCAATATAATGATTTCCGGTTCTCTGGTTGACCTTTTGCTGAATACCAAATATATTAAAATTAGCCTTTTTGTATTCATATATATATTGTAATATTTCTCCGCTGTATGGCTTGACGAGAGTAGAAAGTTCAGTTCCCCTCGAACTTATATTTTACTTCGTTAGAGCCGTTTTCACCATCGTTCTCTCAATATCTGGTTAGCAACCATCTTACTCAACACTCCTTATTTCGGCAAACCAGAAGATAACCAGTTAACAGATGATTGCTAACCAGACATTGAGAAAACGGTCATTATTAAAATAGAAAGCTATAAGGATTAAGGTGGGAATTATTCTAAGACGTTACAAAAAACTGTTATTTTTTCTGCTGAAAATAATTTAGTAATTTGCAAAATAAGCGACATTTTCTTCCAATCAAATCTCCCAAAGATCGTAGTCTATTCTTCWCCATTGAGAGTGAGTGAGTGAGCGGTATCGCATTTTTATTAAGCCTTCAGTTTAATGTCCGAACAGACACTATTCGAACTTAGCAAAGACACAAACCTTAATACATATATTTGCTGATTATGTGAGCCCTGTTAAATACACAGGGTGGTATTAAGATTAAAATTGGTAAACAAAATTATACATACTTATGTAATATGTGGCACGTATTGTAGTTTTATTATTAAAACAGATATTAGGCGAGACAAACTGATTTTTGGATGACTGTCTCACTAACCACTTGTGAAAAAGATAACAGTAAGGCTTGAGAAATCTAGCTGTAACGCAGTACACGTCTGTATTGGCAATAAGAGAAGGTTAGTATGGGATATAAACATGCATAAACATTCCTCTTCTTCTTTATTGGCGTAGTCTCGTGTCGCTTACCCGATTATAGTCGATATTAGTGCAGCTCCCGTCGTTCTTCCTGTTTGGAAGATACCAATTGTGGCCAGGTCCTTCTACACCTGGGCTTTCGAACAGAGTGGAGATCTTCCTATTCCTATGTTTCCCGCCTCGAATACTCTCAGAGCGGCAGTGTTTTCACCCATTTGAACTAAATCGTTCGAAAATTATTACTAAATCCTCTCAATAAAGCAGAAATTTATTTCGAATACCAACTGTTTATTTCTCTTTAAATATATACGTACATCGTTCAAGTGACATTGACATATGAAATATTTCTCATTTCCTACATATGGCGTGATCTGATCAAACTTGACTCGGACTGATCGTCAACGCTTCTTTTCGCGTTTTAACTTTTAACCAATTATATATACATATACAAATTATTAGGTATCATTTTTCTCATATGATCAAATTTGAATCGGACTGATCGATAAAAATATTTTTCTTGATTGGCACAACTTTTTTGCCAAAAGAAAAAAATCTTAATCTACTTAAAAATCATCCTACAAGCATAAAATGGATAGTAGGGGATCTCAACATCTTTTATGGATCGATTCAACACATTTCGCTTAAGGTTTCGGATATAATGCGTGTCAATGCTAGACTCGTACTAATAGACCCGCATGATTTACTAAACGACTTCGATTAAAGGTCACAAAAGATATGCTTGACAACAAAGTTGTGAACCCTACAACCATCAAAAGTATCATTATTGATGATGGGACGTCAGTTATTGAATCTCATGGCGAAAGTATGCAACAATGTAGCGAATGGTGCTGCAAAAATGAGTCGAAACCAAAAATCGCTGAAGGCGCTACAAACCGTTTTCTCACCTATGTTAATATTAAACGAAATTTACGCGGGTTATGTATTCGAAGTTTCATATATTTTTTCTGTTATAGAATTTATTAAACAGTTTTTGGCTCATTAAATAAAACACAACATGATAGATTGCTACTGTAAACCAGCCTGTTAATATAAGCTCTACAACTTTCGTTTAAAACCGCCAGTCATGACCTAGTAAAGTTATCAAATCCTAAAAAAATCGTCAGCAGTAAATCAACAGATTAAATCAAACAATAAAAATTCCAAGCGCTGAATTTGAAATTGGGAAAATCCCTAAAACGTCTACGCCTATTAGTAACACATGTGTGAAAGCTATTTACGTTTCTTGGCAAAAATATGCGTTCATTTGGCTGCAATAAAGCCACGAGCCTACGGCGACGCATTTTGCTCTAAAAGTAAACAAAAATAGCTTAAGTTGATCTAAGTGAAAGATAAAAAGTTACAAATTAGTTTGATTTACACGCAAAGTCAT